TTTTTCCCTGCTAGCGTGCAACGGGTGACCATATATCAGTGAAGACAAGTTTGTCGTGTCTGCGAAAATGCGAATGGTTGAACACGACGCTGAGTGCCTCAATTCCTCCCAGAGACCCCCTGAGCCGAGCAGCTGGAACGGCACATCTTGATGAGCTCACGCCTTAGACAAGAAGCTGGGACGGAAAGCCTGTGGCTGATTTGGGGAGGAGGACCAATGGCAAGCACTCAGCCACGACTGAAGATATGGAATTCAGAATCCCCCGATCAATGGATTGCTGCCTGTCTTCGTGCAACTTCGAGGCCATCGAGTCCCACAACAGTTGATCAACGCCATGTTGACCAGGACAACACACGACTAAGCAAATCTCAGCCCCGTGCAACGGTATCGGCCTTTTTCTTCTTCTTTTTACTAGGGCTGGTTTTTTCCTGGGCTGGTTTTCCACAGGGCTGGCAACATCCCCGGCATCACCAGCATCACTTGGCGCTGGGGTTGCCTATTGGCTCTGATTTAAGGGCAGTTGGGAGATGCTGGGGTCTGGTTAAGTTAAGGGGGTTTCGGCTGGCATAGATCTTCATGAGGGCGGGTCTTGCGGTGGTTTGGGGTTGATTTAGGCGAAGCGAAGGGCTGACATCCAGGCTGCTGTTGCGCGGGTTTAGGGTTGACGTTGGGCGGGTTCAGGGTTGACTTTGAGTGGGTTTGGGTTGGTTTGGAGCTGATTTGTGTTGGGTGTCCTGCTGGTTTAGCAGCGGCTTTAGGGTGTGGTTAAGTGAGTTGTGGACGAGTTTTGGTGGTTTGGGGAAACGCCCCAAAACCGATCCAAAACCGCTGCTAAACCAGCAGCACACCCAACACAAATCAGCTCCAAACCAACCCAAACCCACTCAAAGCCAACCCTAAACCCGCCCAACGTCAACCCTAAACCAGCCCAACAGCAGCCTGGATGTCAGCCCTTCGCTTCGCCTAAATCAACCCCAAACCAGCCGAAGACCCGCCCTTATGAAGACTTAAGCCGGCCAAAAAAGACCGCGGCACCTCCCAACTGCCATTAAATCAGAGCCAATAGGCAGCCCAGGGCGAGTGAGGCTAGTGATGCCGGGGATGCAGCCAACCAACAAACCAACCAACCAACCAGCCAGCCAACCAACCAACCAACCAACCAACCAACCAACCAACCAACCAAACCAGGGGACCAGGCCTAGAAAAAAACCAGCCCCAGGGGGGGAAAAAAAACACCGGATCTCCTTGACCTAAAAACTCAAACCGGGGGCCCGCGACGGTTCCTCTGAAAACGCTGGGCTGTCGGCTCGGACGCTCCCTGAGGCCAGGACTTGTTGATCGTCCCATCGCCTGTGCGAACGCCAAGAGATCTCGTGGCCAGCAGTGCCAGCTGGCTTTATCATCCACATGGCTGTGATGAAAAAAAGAAACAAGTGGTTGGTGGACACACACGGCGTTTAAGCTGAGACATATGGGACAACCACGTCCGCGGAATGCTTCGAGGTATATCCGAAGTGAGCTGCGTCTTCCCTTCCTTCCGCCAGGCAACAAAACAACAACTTTAATTTGATACGCCAATTCCTGCCCAGACAGTAAGAAGATACAACCAAGAAAAAGAAACTAGAGATGTGTGGCAATGCCCATGCCACAACGCACCTCCATCCACATGCACACCCCACTCAGTCGCAAACAACATGCAGGCGCAAAGGAGCACTTCAGCAACCCCGCACCTATGTGGCATTCCCGCATCAAGCAATGCTGATCCTCAACCGGAGCCTTGTTTTTAGGCAGGTCCAGGATGGACAGAAAGGTTTCGGGGCTGTCTGCAACCCCGCCTTAACATTTGTGCTAACCCTTGAAGGTGTCCTTTCAAAGAGGGCGGGGCGTTGCCCATTCTCCGTTTGCGGCATGGGAAAAAAGCATCCCCTTGCCAACCTTGAGCCGCCACTTGCTGCCAAGCGTTCCTTAAAAAAATCGAGGGCTAGTTGGTTCCTTCCATCCACATCCATCCAGGGCCCTGGCCGTTGGTGTCGCAGCTGTCAAAGATAGCCTTCAGCTTCGCCTGGCAGAAGCCCGCCCCAAGAGGGAAATGGAGCTCCACGAACTCGAAATCGCCTGGATCTGCGGCACATGCTGATGGATTGGCAACCACTGGTGCTCCAAGCTGCAACGGAGCTTGCCATACGCAATGCAAGGGCCCAGGTTGAAACAAGCAAAGAAAACGATTTGATTGTCAGCGAGTCAAGTACTCCTACAGTCTGGCAGTGAGCGTGAAACTCCCAAATCCAACTTTCCGAGAACAAGCAGCCTCGGAAGGAAGAGGATTATTCACAGAAATCGGGATGAATCACCACGGTGAGACCCCCAAAATTAGCTTGAAAAACAAACCAACAGGAAGGCGAACCAGGCATGGAAAATATGACCCGTGCCCAGGTCATCTCACGCGGGGCCGTTTCCGCAGCCCGTGCCCAGCGCACCTCCTCCTGGCCCTCGAATTGGCTGTGCCGCCGTGGCACTGGGGATTCATAGACTGGGCAGCAGGCTTCGCTGGATGGAGCGCCAGTCGGCGTGACCAGTCGCAGCAGTCGTCGGTGTTTTGGAACAAATCTGGCTTCAGTGCCAAGCGCGTGCTGAAAAGCCATCTGGGAAGGGAAATGAATGGCATTTCAGCATGTAACTCAGGAGTTGGGTTGGTTGTAGAGTAGATTGCAGCAAATTTCAGGTAGATTATTCATGCCTGGGCCTCGAAATGCAAGCCGTCATAAGAGTACCTGTTGAAACTGATCTGGCAACCCGCGCCACTTCACACCATCTTCACTGATGCACTGATTCAGAATTTACCCACCTGCAAGAACAGATACGCGACAATACAGTGGCTCGTGTTGCGGTGGGTCGCTACATTGCATTCTGCACCGGGCAGGACTCCTAAAACAAAAAACAATGTTCAAAACGTCTTTCGCGAGTGTCCAGAAAGCAACACGCGGTCTATGCGATCCACTGCTTAAGCGAACTATCCACGGAAACAGGAAGACAATTCTGTGTCAGGCTCCCCCCAACGTTTGCGATAACATTGCTGTGGAAGGCAGACATTAGGGGTGCTCACTTTGTCAGTAGGAACCATGATAGCACAGCGGCTATTGAGTTGAGTTGCATGTGCACTGCCACGCATTCAATACTCAGCCACATCAGTCAGCGGTCATCCCCCAATGTGGCGGCACAAGACAGGAAACGTGGATCGCAAAGAACACGCCCCCTTATGTCCAAACCTATCATTTTGTGGACCACACGTGCCTGTGAAATACAGCCACACATGACTGTTGGTCAAAAACCGTGCCTTGCCGATTCTTTCTGAATCCCCGCTCGCCGTCAGTTCAAATTCAGGAAGTCGACCAAGCAGCCAGGCAACTAAACAAGCCAGCCAGGAATCCACCAAGGATGTATGTACATGTGTATATATATATATATGTATATATATATATATTGTGACAATATACATATGCACATGATATGTTTTTCACATGCAAACCATCAGGAGAATACAGTAAAGGCTCTGGAGTGCAACTCTGGCCAGCCCCTGGCAACCTCCCCCTCCACCCGTTGCTCTGCCCTTTGCGCCTTCCAACTCAGTGCTGGCGCGGCTCCGCCCGCTCCGCGGAACCACGCCTCGGAGGAGCGAAAGTCCCGCGCTGAGAAGGCCACTTGCAGACTCACGGCACCCACCCCGAAGATTTGCAGGAAGCTTTCAGCAGTTGTCTGAACATGTTTTTGCACAAACACGACATTGAATTGGCAAGGTTTCTTCTCAAGATCCAGTGAAAAAGGGTGCTGTAAGGAGACGCTGCGAAACAAACTACGGCCGTTGACTGTAATGCAGAGACGTAGCACGAAAGTACAGAGCAAGCAGCACGAGAGCACATGCAAAGTAGCTCGAGAGCACATGCAGAGGAAGAAGCACGAAAGCACTCGCCAATCAACAAGCACGAGAGAGAGAGAGAGCACGCAGAACAAGAAGCACGAGGCCATGCGCGCAGCAAGAAGGAAAAGAGCACCCGCAAGGCAAGTTGCACGAAGGAGCATATGCAGAACAATTGGCGCAGCAAACTGCATGAGAGAACTCATGCAGCAAATTGCACGAGAGAACTCGCGCAGCAAATGTCACAAGCAAACTTGAACAAAACACAAGAGATGTGGATCCAAAACTGGACTTAGTATTTTAAGGCGGCGCTCGGCGAACAGACACTCTCTGCGGCATCGGCGTGGTCGATGTGCAAAACCTGGAGCGTTTGCCAACGTTTTGCTGTACTTGCATTCAGAACAACCGACTGCATTGAGAACAACGCACACAAAAACTTGCGGAGAGCAAGTTGCAGAGATATGGTTGCACAGAGAACTTGCGCAGAGAAGCATGCACAAAGCCCGTGCACAGAGAAACACGCACCGAAACCTCGCCCAGAGAAGCTTGCATCGATAACTTGCGCGAAAAACTTGCAAAGAGAAACTTGCACAGGCAAGTTGGGGCGGAGATACTTGCATCGGGAGCTTGCGTAGAAAAACTTGAGCAAAGATTCTTGAGCCGAGAACTTGCACAAAAAAACTTGCACAAAGAACTTGCGCAGAAGCTTGAATGGAGATCTGCGAAGGAACTTGCGGAGTGAACTTCTTGCTCAGAGACCACTAGCGCAGAGAACAGCCGCCTCGCTATATGTTGTGCTTTCGGACCACCCGTTCTTCTAGTTTGCTTTTGGCTTCTCAAGAACCTGTGCGATGCACATCAAAGCAAAGGCAAACAACACTGAAGCAGCAGCCATGTAAAACCAACGGAACCCCTGCAAAATGGCGCATGCACCCTTGCTTTCTTTTACAACCAGCCCCAAAAAAAGACCCTGATCTTTAGGGGACACCAAACAGCTCCACAAGTGAAGCACCAAGAATATGGGGCGATGCCACAGCGCATGTCCAATCCAAATGCCACCGACGGCTAGCTTCCCAGCAGCACTTTTTCTCCAGCACTTTCCCGTCCACCTTGCCAAAGTTGCTGACAGCGATCGCCCAACCAAACCGGCCATCTCCCTCACGCCGTGGAAGGCCGAGCAAGGAGGATGTTGGGCAGAAGCGTCCTTCCAAACTCAAAGTGCGCTCCCTCATCGATTCTTGAAACATGACTAAAAGACACGACTTGTTAGCCGCAAAGGGGGTCATGATTATCGAAGCCCGGATTGAGCAACGGATGGGTCAAATGCCAGGGCGTGACACGTATGCGTTGGGAACACTCAACAGACTCACCCCGCCTCCAAGGCTCCAGCGGGGCATGCTCCAAGTCCGCAACATGTGACTGGCGACACAGGATGATTGCGCTTGCAAACCAACGACATGTGCACCAAGAAAAATCTGATTGCCTGAGGGTACCGATTTCCGGGCCCCGCATTGTTTTCCGTCAGTTGAGGGGGGCCAACAGATTCGATTCTCGAACCACCTCTTCGGCGCGATCAGGATTGATGTTGGGAGAGGGAACACATGAGCAACGGCCAAAACTATACTTGTTTCCTCAGACGAACATTGAGGGCATAGGGAAATTGGGTGGGCTTCCATGTCCTTCCACAAACAACAAACCAACAACATGCAAGAGCAAACACATTCTGGCAAACAGGTCAAAGGTTTAGGGTTCAAACCACAAAGCGCGTAGCTCCAGTGCGTCGGCCTCCAGTTCCTGCATCGGCGCTGTCAAGCTCCGCGCCACTCCCGGCAAGTGAGCCGCACCCAGCACCGCCAGGACCAGCGGGCCGTTGAGGCCGTGCCGGGCATATTCCACCCCTGGGTTATCCAAGCTCCCCCGGGCCCCCTGAATTCCATTCCACTCCCCACACGGAAACTATAAAGGGAGTCACCCAGAAGCTTTGACATGGCGAAAAGCGCCGGAAGCAAAACATACTTTGGGCTCCAAAGTTCATGTCAATGTGTGCTAGGCCGATCTAGCTGCTACTGCCCCAGCCCCACCTGTCACAGTGTGGATCCTCCGAATCCGATGTGCCAGGAACACGTCCCGCTCTGCCCGGATGACGCGGTCCAACACATCCATGAGGCTCGCGGGGCCAAGGTCCTCAATGCGGTGAGGCAAGAACACGTCACCGAGTAGACTCTTGCTCTGAGCATCTGGAAAGTCGCCATACTGTTCTTCCGCAAGACTTCCGACCTCCAGGGCCTTCAATATAGCATCGCCGGGCACAACCTCTTCTCCGCCCACCCACTCAGTTTGGCTGAGCAGCTCTTGACGCGCCAGCCAAGGCAACTGCCACCGGCCCAAGGCGAACAGGACTCTCACAACACTTGCAGGGACAATGCCAGTGGTGAACGCCCCACGGAGCTTCCAAGCCACTGCTATCTTGCTGGTGAGAGGGAACCACTGGTGGAGATACATTCCAATTCTCAGCCTGGCTTTCAGACGTCGGCGCGTCACTGAAATCGACCTGTCCACCAAAAAGCACGGCTTCAACATACGCCTTGCTTCCAGCATGGCCAGACGCAGCTCCATCCCATTTTCGGGCGAAAAGTCATCGCTGCTGATGCGCCGCAGAAGTGAGCCCACATCCTTGCTGAGAAATGCCCGAGGGTTTGACAGGCGTTGAACCTCCTCTGCCAGCGGTTGCGCCCGCGAGTCACAAAGTTCCACACATACAGCGTCCGGATCCATACGTTGCGTGATCCGTTGCACAGCCTCCACGCTGTTAATCTTCCTGTGGTTCACACCCAACAGCACAACCTTCATCTTCTCTGGGACTTCAACCAGCTTGCAGTCATACTGGCGTAGTAGTGGCTGCGACCGCCGCAACTTCTCCTGTGCCTGGCTTGTAAGGCTTCAAATTGGAAGGTTCCATTACTATTACACGCATGCGCCATCATATTCAAGGTACCCCTATTTTGGTTTTCCCCCAAAACCCTTCAACTCACACACCAAACAGGTCCCAGCGATCCTCACGGCAAAGCCACGCTTTTGTTTGTGTCCTGCTTCCGCACACGGGAAGCCAGATGAGAAGAGAAGAGAACCTTTCATAGGGAAGGCCCCGTGAAGACATCGTGCTGCCTGGTAGATGGAAGATTCCCCATGGAGTTGCCCTGAAGCAAAAGTAGAGCTTCTCAATTCCATAAAGAGCGTGGTGAACCAGGGGTGCACTAAAGATATCTGCGGCCAAATCCAACAGCTGCTGCAGCTGCCGCTACTGGCAACGTGCCTTTCCAAGGGCGGGGCGCCACAGCAGGTGCATTGGGCACTCGACCTTTGACTTTTTGTGCCTGACTTGAGAGGGCAATACAACCCAGGGAACAAGTCCAAATGTTAGCGTCAATAGTTCGGATACGTCCGAACAAACATATACTTAATCAAAGCACATTGGCTTCTGACCATTCATACACCGCTTACTCCCTTTACCAGCGCTCAGTCACGTAGGAACCTCCAGCTGACCAAAGACGAGCGGGAGCTAAGCCGGCATTTGAGGTGAAGGGCGCCCGTGAACACAACGGCCCTGCCTTCTTCATCTGCTTTGCGCTGAAGGCCGCGCTCGAAATTCCGCGCTGCACGGACTTCAGCGGCACAGTCATGGCTTCGGTCAATCGGACAGTTGTGGGAAACCCCAAAGTCATGATCATGGCAGTTCCCACTCGCCTCGCATGGTTCCCACTCCGATCCTAGGATCAACTCTCCGTTTGCCAGAGAGGGCTAGCAAATGGACACGCCAAAGCCAGAAAAGAGCAGCTGCTGGGTTGTAATCCACGAGGCGCAGCAACTGACATCAAGGTCCGTACTGCCCGCTCTCGATGCGGGCTGATATGGATAAGTCTCAAGATGTGGAAACACGGCAGACGGGTCTCTGAAAACTAACAAATATGAAACACATTAAATGATGTGCAAAGCTTGTCAATGCATTACATCATCATTCATTCACCAGCTTTGAAATAAGCGATTCACTGCAAAAGGGCTCTTTTGTTGAGTTTGTTTCACCTCCGGGGCACACGTAGCGCGGGCCGTAGAAGATGATAAACAAGTGCTCTTCCAAGCAAACTGCTGCGTAAACTTCAACTTGCCCGTGAAAGAAAAGCCCTAGAAAGCGAGAAATATGGCTCGATCCAACGTCTCACTCCTAAGCGGGTCAACCCGCCATGTTCCAACCTACCCGAGACGTTTGTCCTATGCAGATTTCAGCCACAGCTTGAGCTGTTGCCTCGCTTTCAGGCTTCTAGCGAGATGGTGTGAATGCGGGCGCTGACTTTCAAGAAGCCCGTGCTGACTGTATTTATGCTGCTACCGCGCTTGCCTCCCAGGAAGTGCTGGCTCAATCTGTTCCAGTCAACTGCCAGTCCTTCACGAGATTTAGCACCGCACAATACCACTTCGCCGGGTCCACGTGTCATACCTTCCGCAAGACCCTCGTTTCAAGTCCTGCGTCTCGGACCAAAATTCCCACAAAGGAGTTCTTGGTCCCCGGCCGCGACCGAGCAAGCAGTCGACCAGGTCGGGCAAAAGCGGCACAAGTCTTTTTGGGTCTTGCCAAATCGAGGGAATGGCGAAGCCCACATCATTGGCGCATTGTGCCAACTACCTTCACCAACTACCAATCTCCGCCTCCGCAAGCAAGGGACCCCGCACTGCGTCTCGCGGGGGTAAATATAGATTCAAGGGTTACCGGTTTGGGGCCCAAAAGGAAACAACAAACCGTCCAAGTGCGCTGCTCGCACATTTTCACGCTTGAACAGCCACACTGCGGATGCAACGGATGTAAAACCCCAAACTGACCGATCAAATTCTTCACCCCCCTCTGCGTGTTAAAGGGGCCTTTCACAAAGCAGCCAAACAGAAACACAACAGAGGGAGAAGGTCATGGGGAACCGTTGTATACATGCAAACCATGACAGTTGCGCTTTTAGCGCCACTGCCAAGTAGATTGGTAACCGCTGCTGTCATTCCATCCTCCCCAACCGGACCAGTTCTGCCAGCTGCCTTGGCTCCAATGCTCACCCTCGCGGGCGGCGGGAGCACTTTGATCGGCATAGCGAGCGGCATTGCGAGCGAGGTGCTTGGTGCTCTCGTTCTTTGAAAACTCAACTGAGTTTCGGGCATATCGCTCGTTCTGGCTGAATATCCAGTCCATTTCGTGGCGGAGGTCCTCGAGGGAATTGCTTCGCAAATGGATGATGCCATTCCAACATCCAATGCTGCGAGGCTTGTCCTGCTCGGAGACAACATTCACAAAAGCCCGTGGACTGTATGGCATTCCCTGAAACATGATGATCCAACGGGAACTGAGTGCATCCTGCAATTCGCTGGGCAAAAACTCCACCTCCGTCTTTATGTACGCGAGCCTTGCGATTCGCGACTCAGAAGTTGATCCAAGGCCAACTCCAAGAGTGCGCTGGGCTTGCGACTGCTTTGGAGCAGCCAAGACGAGGTTTGCACACAACTCCATGCGGAGTATATCCGCATCCCGACGGCCCACTTCAAGCATACGAACCCTGTATTGAAGGTCGAGTTCATAGCGATCAAGTAGAGAGTGGTAGCCGTTCTTCAGGGCGGACTTGTGCTTCTTCCGGGCCTCCTGAATGACAGCACTGTCCGGGGAGTTCAGGCCACGAAGGATGCTACTCCGATCCTCCTCGCGGAGGTCAAAAGTTCCCACGGATGCCAAAACCTGGGCTGTGACATGGGTGCTGAGGCCCATCTTCTTCAGCAAATTGGAACGCTGCACAAGGTAATTCTTTTGCTGCTCTTTCAACAGGCGAGGATTGAGGGGTGACAACTGCCCACATGATGTGCAGTGGACCTGCCCCTCGAACACACTGTTGTTGCAAACCGGGCACGTGGCGACATTCAGCTCAACGTTCTCCATTGGATTGAAAGTCTTCTGTCTCTTCGCTTCCCCTTGCGGGGCGCGAGGAGACGCCACATTGGTGCGGGTTGTAGCAATGCGCTCCAGTGCTGTGGACCGATCATCAACCACGGCTTGGTCGCGCTTCATCCCCTGGGGTTCATCCTCAGTCGCCTCAGCTGGTGCACCTGCATCCGATTGCTCGGAGCGAGTGTACCATACATCGCCATTTGTAGCGTCCAATACAGAAATAATCGTGTAGTTGGGCACCTTGTCGCGCGTGAGGACGCCATCGCTCTCTGTCTTGAAAAAGCAAAGCCCTGCGCGAATGGCCATCCTGAGGTCGATCTGTATTTCCAAGGGCTTGTTAGCGCGTACACCTGAGATGTAATTTTCGTTCGTGCTCGGAATGTCAGCGAAGAAAACGTGAGGTCTGCCTGTCTCGTGCTGGTCACCTCCTCCTGGAAGCAGTCCGTTTCGCATAATGTTGGCGAAGTTCCGCTTATCGGTGCGATGATAGAGCACCGTAGGAGGGTTGCTGCAGACGTTCCAGCCAGACCAGCGCCCGAGGTCCGTCCCCGGGTTCACGTACCACTCCTTCGCGATGCCGGAGTCGTCAATTTGGAGCCAGTCCTCATGGCCTTGGGAGGCCTTGATCTTGAAAATCCAATGAGAACAGGGGACGTCTCCGCACCGGCTTGCGTCCGGGCAACCAAGCGCAATGAACCTCTGCTTTTTGTCGAGCTTGAAGATGTCCATGATGCTTTGAATATTCCATGGAATGGGATGTCGCAGCTCCTTGCGAAGCGCGAGTCCCAAATCTTCAAGGTCCATGTAGCCGTCCTCATCCATCACGTACCCACATCCTTCTGTCCCTCGACCACGGAGGATCTTCGAGATGCACGTCAGGGAGCTGTGGTACTCATTGCTGATTCTCCTGACGGAAGGGTCGTAATCAAAAGAAGGCTGCTTGATGATCTCAAGTCGCTTGGGGCCCTCACCATAGTCAACATACTTCACGCCGTCATGGATGCTATAAACCCAGCAATCGTAGTGGCCCCCAGTCACGTTCCTCCCGTAGGAGTCGAGTGGTACCGGCCTGCTCGTCGCCTCGTCCCTCTGTGCCACCGCAGCCGCCTTTGCACCGGCTTGCGCCGGGCGAACACTTTCGGAAACATCAGCACCGGAAGGCTCACCTGAAGTTGCAAATTCGGCTGGATCGACAGGGGCAAAATCGAGGGGCTGCCGGAACTCCACTTCTTCACGGGTGAAAGGGAGCCCGATCATCTCTGACAATGAAACGCCGCACTTCGTTAGCGTTTCCTTGCAGTACGCGAGAACCTCAACGTTGACTGTGCAATCCTCTTGGTGGCGCACCTCGAGCACATCGATCGGACGCATTGTGCAATCATGCGAACGTGTCAGCTCGGCTACGCTGCCCATTGCGGGGCGCAAGATGGAAAGCATGTACAACATATGATGGGTTCCGCGCATAAACTGGACGGTCTTCGTGATATTGTCGTCACTGAAGCACATATGATACCTGTCCAGCAAATCGATGGTCTCGACGAAGGGTGTAGCATCAACATATACAAACATATTGTTGGGGTCGCCGATGATGTAATCCCGGACTTCCGTCATGAAACGGTCCCAAATCATAGAGAAGCCGTAGAGGTAGCTCTTCGCGCCGGTCATGACTCCAAGGCATGCGCAGCCCTTGCGGGCCGCGAAATCCCTGGTCCAAGCCAGGTGCCGTCTGGTGTCAGCGAGAAGTTGCTCGGCGTCTCCGATGGGGGTGTCGTAAGGATATGTACCAGTGGGCTCGAGGCCGTCCTTCCCAACGAGCTCGTTGCCATTCCAGTAAATCATCGGAATGATGGTGGCTGCTGGGTAGTCGGTACGCACCTCGTCGATGAGGGCGGCCAACCGCTTGCACAGCTGTTGTAAGCCCTTGCCCCAAAGCATTTCAGACCTCCATGCACCGACACGCGCCGGGCGAGAGGCATCCAAACGCTCCGCAAAGTCGTACTTGCGAAGCTTGCGCTTCTTGCCCGAAACCATGGACAGTCCTGAATCAGCGACAGTCACATAGATAAGGAGGTCGCGGTCTGGTACACGTGGGGCCTGCAAAACTTTCAAGTACGGTTCGCTTATGGTTAACAGGGGTGTAAGCAATTGCAGGTAGTGCGGTTGGTCCTGCACCCATGTATGAATAAGCGACTGTGCAGAGGTCGTCTCGAGGAGGCCCTTGACCGTGGCGGCGAGGTTAGCGTCGTATTTGCCGTTCGTGCATACCGAAGTGGTAGCGACATTCTCCATCCATCTCCTCCATGCCGGATCGCAATCCCTCGCGGGATGCGCCATAGCCGTCGCGCTGCTCATTGCAAAGAAGATGCAGCACAATCACTCGAAAGCAACGGCTGCATGGTGGCATGTTCAGAAAATGCATTGTGAACGGCATCGGTGTAAACATACGTGTATCCCTCGGCTTCCTTCAAATGCGTACCACGGCTTTCATCATGCTCGTGAGAACCATCACACTTGAAGTACTCAACCACGGAAATAGTGGGCATATTACTGGCAACGACCCACTGCTTTTTCATAGGTTTTCCATTTCTCCCTTTAATGCCGATTTTGCAACCATGGAATTCGTACTTGTTCATCTTGTACTTAGTCAAGAAACTCCATAGTTCGGGCCATTTCCAATAACGACACGCCTTGGGAAGTTCGAAGGCAACTCTAACGTCATCAGAATAGACATCATTGAGAATGCGTTTGAACCCTCTCAGCAGTGATCGGAATTGCTTGATGTGACCCTCAATCTTGGCAGCACCTTTGGGAGTTTGCTGGTTGACATAACCCCACGGGCATCCTCCAGTGCAAGGCAATGAAACG